TGGTACCAAATTTTGCGGTTTGTTTAGTATTCTGTGGTGCATGTTACATAGATAGTCCATGTGTGCTCAGACTGCATGTGAGTATGAACTGGGGCTCAGACTCACTGCAGGGCTGGCGGTGGTCTTTTTTTTTTTTTTTTTAAGGGTTGGCCCTTCATCAGTCCTAGCTTCATGATTCCTCCCTCCTCGTCGCTCTCTGCCTAGGATTTGTCTCTTATTTCTGGCCAGGAATGAAACTGGAACAAGGAAACTTCCTGATCACCACAGTTTGGCAAACGCGCTCGTGGTGGAAATGACTGCGGTGCTCTGACCAGCCTGGCTTCCCCTGTTTGGGGCTCTCGTGATTATTTTCTTTCTTGAGAAATTATTAACGTGTTTTATGAGCATATGAAGGCAATCGCTTGGCCTTTGAGCTGCCTTCAGCAGGCAGGCCAGTCCTGGGAATCTAAGTCATCACATTCCTGGAAGTGACGCCCCCATCAGGCCCTTTAAAGGTTTTGTTTACTTCGCATCTGCAACCAAATCTGAAAGGAGAGCTCAGTAGCTGCAGCAGGCACTGAATGGAATGCACCTTCTCGGCGACAGGTCCACCCAGCACTTTCATAACGTAAGATCAGGAACATGCTGCTCACATTTGGCATAGTGGCATCATTCGGTGTTAAAATACAGTCGCTGTTTCCAATAAGATCAACGATCTCTGTAATAAATTGATTTTTGCAAATTGCTTCAATCCCTGGGCCCCTCCAGAGAATGGGCTCCCAATAACTGGAATTTCGGGCGGCCTCTGGCAATCAGAGGACAGCCGGGCCAAGCCAGGACCGAACTCTCCTGACTGGATAAGGGCAGGCCTAGGGGGTGTGTCCTGGTGACCCGGGCCACGTCTGGCTGTCCTCGAACCCTCTCTGGCCAACACATAATTAACATGATGTAAAATTTCTCAGGGAATGAAACCCGACACTGTTTTCTGACACCCAGCAGTGAGACCTTGCAAAGACTGGGACACTTATGAAAAAGGGGGTTCGTTGAAGGGACACTGTGGCCCAGACACGGAGTGTGAGAAGGGCCCAGGGCTGAAGGAAGACGGGCTACTCCCCCTTTCCCTCCCTGCTGGGCAAACAACTCGCCCCCCTCCCCCCTCAGATCTCGGCTGCTCTCTGTCCGCGCACTGCCCTCCACCACCCCGATGCCTCTGCCCGCGTGCAGTTTCCGGTGTCTCCTCGGCGGAGGGAGGTGGACGGTCTGCCCACGGAGCCCTGGGAGGCCAGCGCACGCGGTCGCTTTCAACCGAGTTTTTACCTTCCACTAGTGTGTAGTTATGAAATAACCCACCTTACCTCCGTCTGCACGTGTGATGATCTCGGTTTATCCAGCAAAGACTGGAAGGGGGAATATTAGGTCATTTTTATGACTGTATTGGAGCCAGGACTCAGAGTTGCTCCTTCTTGGGTTGTGGGCTGGGATCCCTTCGCCAGTTCTATCTCGAAGGCAAAGTTCCTGTGTTACCTTGGATTGTGGTTTGAATTAGGTGATCTTGCCTCTTTCTTTTTACTGATTTATATGATGAGGTGATTGCCTAAAGATGGCTATTCTCCTATAGTACGGATCTGGACAGATGGTGTCACTCTGTCATCTAAGCCGGAACCTTGGGGATCACGCAAGACATCCCCCCGCTTTCTTACTGCCCGCATGTTCGATGAATCACCAAGCCCCGCCGACTTTTTAAAAGTCAGAATCTGTTTCTGGCCTACGGAAAGTCTGAGACCATAATGCAAACAACACCCACAGGCCAACACTCTGGTCTGTAAAACTGTCGCATTTTGTCACACATATAAAAAATGTCAGGTTTTTGTTTTGATCCTTTAAAACATGGAACATTACAGATAAAGTTGAAACCCCCAGTGTACCGCTCTCTGATGTCCTCTGTCTCCTCTCCAGAGGAAACCTCAGTCCTGATTTTGGTGCGCATCATTTCCATGGTGTTTGTGCCATTATGACACAGAGTATTGGGTGGCATCCTTTTATATTAGTATTTTACACGATGTGTATCCATCAGCAACTTAGTTTTTCTTACTCAACATACTTCTTGAGCTCTATCCAAGAACTAGATAGTTGAGTCTAGTTTATTCTTTTGAACAGCTATACAGTGTTTTCTTACATGAATATTGACGTCACTTATTCGTACTCCTGTTGTTGACATTTAGGTCATTTCTTATATTTTGCCTTTCGAGACACAGGTACCTATGTCCATGCGCACCCAGATACAGGAGAGCTTACCTAGGAAACAGTGGACCGAGGCACCGGCATCCACACACTAGTGTAACACAGAGATATTCTTTAAATGGACATGAGTGGACCGACAAGGGCCAGCATCGGTTGACAAAACTCAGATAGGGGTTAACAGGCCCAGTGAGGGTTGATGTTGGCCAACATGGGCATCTTGGGTCACAACTTTTGACTCTCATTGATTCTATAGCTGGAAAGGACCTTAAAGCGTCTGCCCCTTTCCAGAGGTAAAGGCTGAAGTGTGGAAAGGCAGCTTTCTCAGAACCACACAGCTGCCCAACGCCAGAGGCCCGGCCCCGGAACCCTGCCTTCTCCCTCCTGGGACCCTTCCCCCCGCCTCTCCCGCCTCTCCCTGGGGCTGGCCCCACAGTGCTGATGGACCGGGCAGCACATTCTTGGGAGCTCATGCGTGTCCCTAGCAAGACCTGGGGCGGCTTCCAGGGCAAAGGTGGTTCCAAGCTCTAAAGAGAATTTCTCATTTTCTGCATTATCTAGGTTCAACCCCTGCAGGCAGTGACCATGTAGCATTGCCAACCCTTGGAAAACAAGCGGCCAGAAGCACTTTTATGTATCAGGTGTCCATGCGCATCCCCAGCGGAGGACACCACGCAACAGACAAGCAGCATCTTGGGCCACAGACTTTGGACACTTAATACTAATCACACTTTCTGATCGAGCGCCTTTCTTTATTGCTGTTTAGCTCTTATTTCCAACCTTTTCTAGGTCACAAGTGTAAAAACCGGGGGTCTGACTAGGCAACGCTGGGATTTCCTTGGTGTAAATTCCATCTCATATGTTTCTTTCTTTCTTCATATGCTGGCGCGTATGATGAAGATGTTTATTTACAGTAATTTTGACCCCAAACTTTAGAGAAACTGTCCGAACATTACCTTAAGACGACAGGCTCATCGGAACCCAACAGAGGGCGCATCAGCCGTGCGCCCGCCCCGTCCCGCCACAGCAGTCTCCGTGGGGCCGTGGGGCCTCGCGGACTTGTGGACACGTGGATCGCAGCGAGGTAGTGGCAGGCTGCCAGCCCCCACGGCTGGGTACGGTGCTCGGGGAGCTGTATTTTTGGTCGCACCCCCAGCTCGCTGCAGAGAGACGTAAAGCCCCTTTTATATTCATCTTTAAGATTGGAGTCCTTAGCCTCTCGCGACTGAGCCTAGGGGCCACCCCCAGGGCGGGTCATGCGGACTTGCACTAGCATCTTCACAGTCCAGAAACTTCGGACCCGCTCAGGACCTGACGGAACACATTCGTCTGCTGCCTCCGTGGACTCTCACTCACTCCTGGAGGAAATTCTGTTTTAGAGTGTGGGGTACGGACAGGACCCCCCACCCCTCAGCTCCTCAGCGCCCCCCCCTTCTCCCACCCTCCTCCCACTCGCCCTCTTTCGCCCTTTCCATTTTTTTCAGTTTAGAAGAACAACAATACCCCGCAACTCAAAGAAACAGGAGTCACATTGTGTTTTCAAACTCACAGACATTTAGAATAAGCTCCCCTCTTTTTCTTATTTGTTCATTGACCAAAACAATATTTGTCTTGGGAAAATGAAATCCGATTCCTGGGTAAGTCCCCTGAGATGGGCTGGTCCCTTGGCTTGTAGTTGTTTTTTTTTAATAGTACAACTTAGAAAGTGAGCTGCAGTCTCATTGAAGGGCTGGACTGTAAATACAGTAGAACAGGAGAAGAGAAGGTGCAGGCAGGGGCGGGGGACGGGAACTTTAGAGTTGGTCCCGGTCCGCTGGCTGCCTCGGGTCCCCATGAAGCTTTGCCCCAAGCTTTGCAGGTTCCAACAGGATCCCTGCGAAGTTGCAGTGCCGATGATAGCTAGCACTTGTGAAGCCCTGGCTGTGAGCCATGAACATTTTATAAGCCATTTTAATTCTCTGCCGAATGAAAGACGCGCTGTAGGGGACCCCCAGAATCGGGGCTTGGTGCTTGCTCCCCTCGCCCACCCGCGCCCTGCCCTCCGGCACTGGCCTCCCGCTCAGCCTCGGACCCCTGTCCCCGCCCCGCCCCACCCCGCCCCGCCGCGGGGAAGCCTGCCGGGTCGCCAGCTCTGCTTTTCCGCCACAAATGCTCACCCTCCAGCTCTTCGTCCCATGGCCCTCCTGGGGCCATGCTGCCTCCGAACAACCCGCCAGCCACGATCCCTGCTGTCTCTCTCTGGAACTGCTCTTGCGCTCTACAGCTCCGCTGAGAACCACCCCCTCCTACAGACGGGTTTGGACACCAGGAACTGGAAAAAGAAAGCGTTGAGCCCTGTCCATAGCTGCAGGTGAAAAATAAGAGGCGGGGACAGAGACAAACACTCTGCTTGTGGAGGTCGACCGGATTTTATTGTCTCTCGTTTACACTCAGAGCTAAGAGGTTTGCATTCCTAAGTCGTAAGTGAAAGTCAGTGGGAAGAGTTTAAATCGAGCAAAGACGTGGGATAACAGCCATCTGAAAGATCGCCCTTGTCCTCGGCTCCTCCCTTGTTGGGGTGAGCCCGACTGCAAAGTTAGTGTTGACGCCTGTCATCTTCTAAAATTCCACCTCTCTGCGGGTGCCTGTATTTCTGGAACATTCACCCAAAATAATCAGGTTGCATTTTTCTCCCCTGGTGATAATTCCAGGTTGTTCAGGGACCCAGCTTCTCCTAAGGAGTGGGTTTCCGGTAAGGGGTGAGCAGAGGTGTTTTTTTTAAAAAGGGGTGCTGTATCTTTAAATTCTGAACGTGAACTTGGCTCAGGAAGGCCAGCCGTCCAGATCCAGCCCCTAGAACAGAGACGAGCTACAGATTCTCCATCCTCAGTCTTTGCAAGGGGACGACTGTGCCAGCCCGCCCGGCAGGCTCCTGGCAGCATGGCTGGGAAGCTCAGGGCCCTCCTGCTGGCCCTTGCCCTGGGCCTGGCCCGGCCCTCTGCCCACCGGAAGCTCCTGCTGTTTCTGTTGGACGGGTTTCGCTCGGACTACATCAGCGATGAGGCCCTGGAATCCCTGCCTGGTTTCAAGGAGATTGTGAGCCGGGGGGTCCAAGTGGATTACTTGACCCCAGACTTCCCCAGTCTCTCTTATCCCAATTACTACACGCTAATGACTGGTGAGTACCCTGCCGTCGTCCGGATGGGAAGGAGGGTGCTGGAGTCCAGTAGGGAGCTGTTAGTGCCTGGCATCGGAGTCCAATTTAAATGTTCGGGCTTCCCTAGTCCTTGGGGACACTGGAGAGGGACAGGAAGTTGGCGTTCTTGGCCGAGATAATTTTTTTTTCATGGTCGTGTTGTTCTCCAAAAGTTGTGTTGGATTCTCAGTGTGGAGAACAGAGAGCTATATGATGAGATGATTTTAAAGGGGGTTATTTGTTGTACAGATCAAAGTTCTAGCTCACTCGATATTTTCTAATCAAGTTTAGCAAGTCAACCGGTCTTCCTGTGTTTGTACCAAATCCCTTATGCCCCCTGGCTCTGCTGTCTTCTGTCACCCCAGAGGCACTTCGGCTTGCTTATCGATGTGCTAGGCTACGTGAGCTACACGTGGACTGCTGGGTCACTTGGAGGAACTTTCTCAGTCAGACCTTGAAGTATTACTTAGCTGGGGCCTGTGCCCCTTCTTTTGCCTTTTCGGGTCAGGTAACATAACATGAGGAAAAACATGGCTATGCGGTTGAGATTCCCATTTTTAACTTCTAGCCTTGGTTAAAAAAACCAAAACCAAAACAACAACAACAGCAACAAAACAGAACAAAAATGTCAGCTAACCTAGACTGTCCCTGGGCTTGAGAAAGCTGGATTTCACCTGAAGATGACCTTCATCTGGGGTTGCCAGAGCGCCAAAGGGTGTCCATGAACTTGGTCTTCTGTCTGAGCCACAGAAGGGACTTTCTGCTCACACAGTGGGATTCCTGGCATCCAGTTGGTTTCTCAGTGACCTTTGTGAGGGCCAGCAAGGCAGTCTCGGAAAGAATTTAGCAAACTTCCCAGGGAGGGTGTTAGGAATGCAGTGTTATTCTTGCTGCGTACGCTGAACTTTGCTATGGGCCCTGAACACAGGGACAGCGGTATCAATGGTGTTAATGGGAAGGGGATGCAAACTCTTGAATCTCATTATGGATCTCCACGGAATGGCAAAGCCATAGGAGTCTGGAAAGACAACCTATATCTCTGACTTTAGGTATGGCTACTATAGGCAGGTGTCCATAAAAATGCCATAACATTAAATGGGAGAGATGCTTTGGAGAACTAGAAATGAAGGCACAGAGAGGAAAGAAATTCAGTCTGTGCATCTGCGAACAATGCGTTTGTTGATTGTTAGAAATTTCCCCCCACCAGACAAACAACCAGCGTCTCTGGGATACAGAGGATGGACAAAGGTCCCCTGGTCCTGCCTTGGCACGGTTCTCCCCTTGCAGGGAAGCAGTTTGCAGGCTGCTGGGCCACACACAGATGTGATTGTGTGTCCCAGCCTGGCTTCAGTTGTGCCCGGGGAGTCTCACGCACGCAGCCCGCCCCGTTCCGGCCGTCTCCCAGAGCCTCGCTGGCAGACCTGATTCATCGGCGGCCACGTGCGGTCTCCCCATCTCGGTGGAAAATGAACAAAATCCATTTCAGGAAGTCGGGCTCCGGGGAGGAAAAAGGGACCATTGCCATCTCCACAGAGGGGCCAAGCCAGTGACGCGGTCTTTTGTTGGCCAATGCCACATTTCTGAGATGGGCACAAGGACTCATTTGCAGCGAGACTCTGTCCCGCTCTCTGTTCTGGAATGGCTGTGCTCACTCGCCCTTCCCATGCCGGGACAGCCTGGTGCCCAGGGGTGCCTGACAAAGACCCGCCCTGCGCTTTCAAACTGCGGGCAGCCCGAGGAAGCCATGGCTCACACCCGCATGTTTTTAGATGGTAAAATGTATAATCTGATTTGAAAGATGGCTTGCTATTTAAGTCATCTTTTCCCCTTTTATAGAAGCAGCATGAACACAGGGTGTGTCTAGCAAGGCTCACGGTCATGTGCAGATGATGTGGGGCGTGATTTGTTCTGCGCCCATGAATGGAGCGAAGGCTGGGAACCACCAGCTGCGAAGCTGGTAGCACCTCCGCTGTCCTGAAAGTGACTCAGCACTATGTTTAGACTATTTCCTCCAATATCTGTGCTTATTTTTCTACCTGATGTTGAAAAACTCCTCTTTTTTTTTTAATATAAGGAAGAATATAACCATTGGGAATTATACTTACACATATGGTTTGAGCATTTGAACATTTTATGAACTAACAAAAGAATCATGCTAGATCCTTTTGGTACTGAAAGGGAAGCCGTTATAGGGTCCCTCAGAATTCACAGGGAAAGCTGCGATCTCACTTCATTATGAGTTATTGCCCATAAGCCATAAAGCCCCGGTGTTCTCTTCGTATAATGAGGAAAGATGGGTTATTGGAAAGAACCCTGGCCTTGCAGCTGGAAGGCCTTGGCTGAGCCTTCTCAGGGTCCCGATGACACAGGGAGACTTGGGAGGAATCATTTCACTGCCTCAGTTCCCTCCGTTCTGGGCCCTCAGCAGGCCAGGATCTCAGGTGCTGCCAGACAAAGATGTGAAAATAAGCGATGCAGAGGGAATTAGAAAAAACTAGAACTGGCACCTCTTGGGAGGCCTGCATATATGAAATAAACAAATGTCTGACAGTCCTAAGGAGGAGAATTTTGTGGGAAACCACATGGATCGTGATGGGAAATGAGGGATCACAAAAATCATAAGGAACCTTGGAAATCATCTAGCTCCGTCGTTGACGTGAAGCCACAGTGGCCGATTGTATTCTCCCTTCAAAACACATTTGCACCAGAACAGAGGTGGACAAAAACTCCAGTTGATTAGGAAGATCTACCAACCAAATGATTCCTGGGGACACAGAGGATCTTAAAACAGGGCCTTTCACCCAGGAAGCCTAAATTCAAGGTGAGGACAGGAGACACATCAAGTACCTACTATTCTAAAATTAAGGCCAAGCGCTGAAATGTGTCCCTCCAAGATCCATGTGTTGAAGTCCCAACCCCCAGGACCTCAGAATGTAACCACATTTAAAGATGTAGCCTTTAAAGATGTTTTCAAGTTAAAATGAGGTCGTTGTTGTGGTGCCCTAATCCAGTAATGACCAATGTCCTTTTAAGAAGAGGAAGAGAAAAGGCCACATGGGGACACAATGAGAAGGTGGCCATCTGCCAGCCAAAGAGAGAGTTCTCACCGGAACTCACTTGCCAGCACTTTCGTCCTGGGTTTCCAACCCCCAGAACGGTGGGAAGGAACTTTCTGTTGTTTGGCCACCCTGTCTGTGGCACTTTGTCATGGCCACGCCAGCAAACTCACACACCAAGGCCGAAGGGTCATTTTCTAATATGCTACGGAAGAGCAGAGGAGAGGAGGAATTTCTTCCAGCTGCAGTTGCTCAACAGCATTTTGCAGGAGGGGGGCGGCTGAGCCGGGCAAAGAGCCACAAGCCTGGCGTTTATCACTCTGTCTTACTCTACGCACAGGCACTCTCTTTCGGAAGAGCTGTGTGCAGACCAGCTTCATTTTAGCTGAAACACAACCGCAGAACGACTGCTGTTGGGATGCTTTCTATTTGATTCTCACTGTGAATCTTTTCGTGAGGTTATTCTCTTTGTGAATTAAATCCACATTTTATTTAAGTAAAGTTTAACATAAAATCCATGGACGAAAAACAGCAGTTTGTTCAATCCAGATCATGGGTAAGAGAAAATGCCGGGTATGCTTTCAAGCAGCATGACAACATCGTTTTGCCGAGGCCAATGGCAACATTCGTTTGTAATTCTTGAACACTTCCTTTTTTTATTAAAGTATAGACAGCTCAGTATTACATTAGTTTCAGGTGCACAACGTAGTGATTATGCATTTATATACCTTACAAGTGATCATTACAGTAAGTCTATTAACAATGTACCCCCGTGCTCCGTCATGATGATATTATTGACTATACTCCCAGTGCTGTATGTGATACACCCGGTGGCTTATTTTGTTTAAACTAGAAGTTTGTACCTCTTGTTCCCTTCCAGCTTTTTCACCCACCGGCAACCATCAGTTCTCTGTATCTATAAATCTGTTTCTGTTTTGTTTTGTTTATTTTATTTTTTATAAAGTTCACATATAAGTGAAATCATATGGTCTTTCTCTGACTTATTTCACTTAGCATATATCCTCTAGATCCATCCATGTTGTCATAAATGGCAATATTTTATTCTTTTTTATGGCCAAGTAATATTCCTCTGTGTGTGTGTGTGTGTGTGTGTGTGTGTGTGTGTGATCACACCTTCTTCGCCCCTTCATCTGTTGGTGGAGTCTGATTATGCATTTGGGGAAGGCGGCCCAGAATGTCCTGAGTAGCAGGGGAGCCGGTCTTATCTTCACTGAACGTAATCTGCCACCGGACAAGCACCTGCAGACACGAATTTGCTGTGCAGAATGTTATCGTCACTTAGAACACTTAGAACTAGCGGATGGAGTGCAGGGAGGTGGGACGCTTTGCTCCGGACGCCAAAGAATGTCGGCAGCAGGGCTGAGATTGGAGGGCAGACGTCATAGGCTCAGCTCTCACACAGCAGGGCCCTGACCGAAGCACTGAGGTGTCCAGGAGGTGGTGGCCTCGGACCCAGGGGCAGAGGCCTCCCCAAGACCAGCCCAGGAATCAGGAAGAGCTCGAATAAAGGTGCCTTATTAATCCTTTACCGGAGTCAAAGCAAAACCAAGCATATCAACTGCTTAGACTTCACATTTGTGCTGGCCTGCTCCCTGCGGCACTCTTAGACATTACATGTGAAGCCAGCTCTTCCCAGATAGCCAGGTCCTGACAGTAAGAGATTGCAGGGGAAGGTGTGCCTCCCCCGGCTTTTAAGAAACTAGCTGGTTTCAATTAGAACTGGCTAACAGTTGGACATTAACGCAGAAAGTACTGAGAAATTGAGTTTTGGAAAGAGCTCACGTCCTCAGCCTTCTGGAGACCTCAGGTTTCCCGTAGGGGCTGCGGGCGGAACCTTCCCCCGCCACCCACAGCACAAGCAGCGTGGGGTCCCTCTCCCCCTTGTCCAAGATCAGCCCTTGCACG